GCTTACTGCGCTTGGCGGGTGCACACAGAGTTGTCTGACATGTACACAGTGTGTTCTTTTTATGACTTCAAAGTCAGTAGTTCTCCATATTTCTCAGAAAAACTAAAATCCCTGAACAGTTAACCACTTATTCCCATTTTTTTAGACATTTCTGCAGCTTAAAAATGTCTCCTCGTACCTCAATAGCTGATGACTCGTACCACAAAGTAGCTACAGCCACGGTCACCAACAACCACATACATCAGTGCGGCACAATGCCTCTGTCTTCTCCATACAGGATGCCTTTCTTTCAGGGAGCATGTCTACAGGCCAGATGGGCTGCAGGGCCTTCTCTGTCCAAAACAAAATGGCTTTGAGAGTGCTGGAGACCCCCGTCAGGTCTGCGAGAAACTGACCAGAATACTAAGCATCATCTTCAACGCACATCACGGCTCACTTTGTCAAAAGTGTTATACATCTTTCTTCACTGTTCAGCTGCACTCAGTAGCATATCCACAGGGAACTGAAGGAAATGCACAAAAATAAAAAAGCTTCACATATTGTGGAAAATCTACAGATATTAAAGAACTTAAAAGAAGATGACCATAAAAACAATCATGATAACCTTCTTGAACTCTTTTGTTTATGGTGTTATTTACAAAAGAAGAAAAAACTTCTTTTTGGCAGTTAACAGTCACAGATTGTTTAGAGGAAGACATGAATACAAATGGTGCCACAGGCACCACTTGAATGCTACACTGTGTTGAGTCCATGCGTGTTACAACTGGGTACTAATAACGTGGCATTTAGGGACAACCTCGATCAGTTCGGATGCCGCTGCTTCTCCAGACAGAGTGAGAAGATACCAGTTGCACGTTCGCAGCTCCGCTTATTTTTGCTATGTAAATGTTCATCTTCCCACTCTCCAGTTTCCCTCAGTGAGACTCCGTCTCCGTCCCTATCCTCAAGTATTCCCACTCCAAGTGTCTGCTAATCCTAAGTATTCTGGATTTTCTGCAGTCGGTGTCACAAAACCGTTCATATGTCTGGTTACTCCTCCGTTGCTTTCCAGTCCTGCTGGGCCGTCCCCCGCCACAGCCCCGGGAATCGCCTTGGGCCCGAGGTCCAGATAGTATGGGTTGTCAAAGGCCGGAGAGGTGGAGTTCACTGGGATCAAATACCCTGGGTTTTCCACACTGTGACCTGAACTTAGGCCGTTAGGAAGCCGGCGGTCTATTCTGGATTTTCGAGGCAGTGTGCTGGGCCGCTCAGGGAACCCTGGCCTGAGATCCTGAATTTCTTGGTTGACGTACTCTGAGAAGGTGAATAGAAGAAGAAAAGTCAGAACATAATCAGTTACGGACATTTCCTTCTTTATGAAGACCACGACTCACCTGGCAGGGGATGATTTTGAATGGCGTGACTCCGCCGGGGTAGTGAGTGGTGAAGATAAGGATGGGGAAAACCACTCCACCCATCAGTTTCTAGGTCATCCTTGCTCCCGTTGGGGAAAGTGGGGTCTTTGCTGTAGCGTCCGGGGCTGGCTGGTGCCAAGGAGTGGCCGTCTGTAGGTGCATCCAGGAAGACAGAGTCAGACTGACCTCCAGCTGAGGTGCTGCGAGCCAGCATTGGATACTGAGGCCACACACTGTTAGAGGCGCTCGCTCCCATTGTTAAGGTTGGGTACTGGGCGTGGCTGATTCCAGTCAGGGAGGAGTGAAGGTTCCGAGGCCCAGCAGTGTTGGAAGGGTCCATATCTAAGCTATGATCTCTGCTCTGCTGGAAAGAAAAACAACCACCCTTTAAGATATTGGGAATGTACGACATGACAGCATGTTAACAGAAAAAGTCGCACTCTCACACAGTATCAGGTACTTACTGCTCATATAATATATATAAATCTTCAAATATATGTTCATATCGGTTTCATCATTTATTAAACAGACAATTCATGAGTCATTTCAAACACACAGACATTAAAGCAGGACTCTTAATTCTTATGTCACACATGCTGAATGATGGACACTCTCTTAAAAACTTCTCATCTGTCACTCCAGAATAAATTAGGAAAATTATCTTAGACTAATCTGATCTGGGGGTGGGGATTCCCCACCCTCTGATCTGCGTGTCCCTGCCTCTGCTAAATTATTTTTAATAGCGAGTTACAGTTTCTAATTTTAATAGCTAGAAACCGTAGCTATAAAGGGCGTCTTTGTATAATGTTACAAGCAACAGAGAAGCAGCCACAATGCTGCATGAATATAGGACACCTACCCTTAAAGTCGTTCACTACATTAATCACAATTTGGAACCTGCGGTACACGTTGCTGCAGAGCACATAATCGAGCAGAGTCAATTTCACATACAGTGGGGCAAAAAAGTATTTAGTCAGCCACCGATTGTTGCAAGTTCCCCCACTTAAAATGATGACAGAGGTCAGTAATTTGCACCAGAGGTACACTTCAACTGTGAGAGACAGAATGTGAAAAAAAAATCCATGAATTCACATGGTAGGATTTGTAAAGAATTTATTCGTAAATTAGGGTGGAAAATAAGTATTTGGTCACCTCAAACAAGGAAAATCTCTGGCTCTCACAGACCTGTAACGTCTTCTGTAAGAAGCTTTTCTGTCCCCCACTCGTTACCTGTATGAATGGCACCTGTTTGAACTCATCATCTGTATAAAAGACACCTGTCCACAGCCTCAAACAGTCAGACTCCAAACTCCGCCATGGCCAAGACCAAAGAGCTTTTGAAGGACACCAGGAAAAGTATTGTAGACCTGCACCAGACTGGGAAGAGTGAATCTACAATAGGCAAGCAGCTTGGTGTGAAAAAATCAACTGTGGGAGCAATCATCAGAAAATGGAAGACATACAAGACCACTGATAATCTCCCTCGATCTGGGGCTCCACGCAAGATCTCATCCCGTGGGGTCAAAATGATCATGAGAACGGTGAGCAAAGATCCCAGAACCACACGGGGGGACCTGGTGAATGACCTGCAGAGAGCTGGGACCAAAGTAACAAAGGTCACCATCAGTAACACACTACAACGGCAGGGAATCAAATCCCGCAGTGCCAGACGTGTTCCGCTGCTGAAGCCAGTGCATGTCCAGGCCCGTCTGAAGTTTGCCGGAGAGCACATGGATGATACAGCAGAGGATTGGGAGAATGTCATGTGGTCAGATGAAACCAAAGTAGAACTTTTTGGTATAAACTCAACTCGTCGTGTTTGGAGGAAGAAGAATACTGAGTTGCATCCCAAGAACACCATACCTACTGTGAAGCATGGGGGTGGAAACATCATGCTATTGGGCTGTTTTTCTGCCAAGGGGACAGGACGACTGATCCGTGTTAAGGACAGAATGAATGGGGCCATGTATGGTGAGATTTTGAGCCAAAACCTCCTTCCATCAGTGAGAACTTTGAAGATGAAACGAGGCTGGGTCTTCCAACATGACAATGATCCAAAACACACCGCCCGGGCAACAAAGGAGTGGCTCCGTAAGAAGCATTTGAAAGTCCTGGAGTGGCCTAGCCAGTCTCCAGACCTATAGTAAACGTTTGACCTCTGTTATTGTCAACAAAGGTTATGTTACAAAGTATTGAGTTGTATTTTTGTTATTGACCAAATACTTATTTTCCACCCTGATTTACGAATAAATTCTTTACAATTCCTACCATGTGGATTCATGGATTTTTTTTTCACATTCTGTCTCTCACAGTTGAAGTGTACCTCTGGTGCAAATTACTGACCTCTGTCATCATTTTAAGTGGGGGAACTTGCACAATCGGTGGCTGACTAAATACTTTTTTGCCCCACTGTATTTATTAACCTGATTAACTCGAAAGTCTGCAACTGACACACTGCAGATGGAGCTTTGCCAGAAAGCAGAGAAAGTCATCAACGTGCATAGTTTTCTCATTCTGACATGCAGAAAATTTACTGTAACACGTTATAGCGCTGGTGAAATTTGAGATTTAATAGAAATACGGAAATTTAATGCCACAGCTGGCCAAATAGTGCTCAGTGGAAGGGGATCTATCAAGTAAAACTTGAGATGTAAGGGCCAACATGTACAACTGTCATCACATAACAGGTAAATTCTGTCTGTCTGTGATTAAAGCCAGCAAATGGACCAATCAAAAAGAACATCCATCTATCTATCTATCTATCTATCTATCTATCTATGTATGATAGATATAGATACATATAGTTATATAAAATAGACAAAGACAAAATTACCCACCCCCCTCCCACCCCACTGACCCTGTATGACTGGTGTCTGGATAGTCCATTGGCCTGGGGCTCGTCCCCTTTCCTTGTATTTGGCACCAGGTACTCCTCAGGATCCATCATTTCCACAATATTTTCATCTTCCCTCAGAAGCATCCTGTAAAACTCACTGTCCACTGGGCTGCACTTGCTCATCTCTTCATCATTCTGAAAGACGATGAAAGAACAACATGGGATAAAAAACCCAAAACATTCTAGGAATGTACATCTTTATTTATTTGGATGGAATTAAAAGTGTCACTCTTTAAAAGGTAACCACATCTAAAAAGTAGCAGTTTTAGATGAATAATTTTATAGTATGGACACAATAACTATCAGTGCCGCTCTCTCTCACACACGCACACACACAGTAAAACATTAACAGCATGAGTAAAACATTTACATACCTGAATAACTACATAGCGAGTAGGATCTCTAGCCATGGCACTAAAATCATTGACCAGGCCTTTGAATCTCGGCCTGCTCTCAGGATCAATCATCCAACCTGCCAACCAAACAATGGTTAACTGAACATTTCAACAACATTAAATCCTTTGACAGACGGGGAAATAAACTACAACGTGTATAAAAGTCAGATTCATTTGCAGTTTTTAACCAGGAAATACATTAAATGCTTAAATCTTGGCAACATCACAACATAGACAAAATGCAAAAATCACTGCTGCAGTGAGAGGTACTGACATTTGACCATGATCATGTAGACATCAATGGTACAGATAAGGGGTTGGGGAAGCCGCTCGCCCCCCTCTAAAACCTCTGGGATATCTCTTGCTGGAATCGTGTCGTAGGGCTTAGAGCCAAACGTCATCAGCTCCCAGACAGTTACCCCTGCAATTAAATAACAACAACGCAACATTTACTCTAAAATACAAATCACCTATAAGGATTTAAACCAAGTTATCTGTGAATGAAGTTAGTTTTAAAACCATTATGCATTCAAGAAAAACAGAAAAACTATGGAAACACTGAACTCTAAATGATTTAAGAAATATATTTATGGTTAAAATTTAAGTTAAATACTTTGGATTGCTGTTAAGCTTAGTTTATGGGTGAGACCAACACTCAATCATACAAGAACCTCTCTTGGCCAGTCTCAACTGGATTTATGCAGATAAGATACTGTGACATCATGCATCATACCCTTTGATGAGAATTTCAGGGTAGATCTAACTGTTGTGATTGACACCTTGTTAGCCAGTGAGTGTACTTTTCACACCACCGACAAGCCACAATAAAGCACGACGAAGATCAATTCAGTTTTATTTATATAGAGCCAAATCATAACAGCAGTTATGTCAAGGCGTGTTTTTATTTTTATTTAATTTAGCATGTAGCAAAATGCTACTCTACAAATTTCCCACTCCTTTATGCTAATGTATTTAGCTCAATTTAAAATGGAAGTTAGGCTATTTAGCGCTACTTAGCATTAGACTGTAATAACTACCTGTATGTAAATGTGAGACGAGTTTATTGTTAATGCTAGTGTTATTAGATTCTTTTTTTTCGTGTTTCATATAGGGAAAAAATGCTACCTTACAACACACATGGCTAAGCTAACTAGTTTGATACAAAACAGAAATTAGGACAGATAACTCTAGGCTGTGCTAACTAGCTGTTTAAAAACTTTGAAGACAGTAAGATTTTTTACTTACAAGAAAACAGCATTATGTTTTATTGCTAGTGATACCTGAACAGCTCTATCTTTGCTAAGAACCAAAAAAGTCCTGTTTTTCCTCTCTTTTCCTGGAATGCGCCAACTCAAGAGTGATGTCATTCTCAAAGTTCCTGCATTCGAGTACTGAGGTATCTGGATCATGGCCAGTGTTGCCAACTCCTCAGTAAGGTAGAAGTCGCTAAATGACGTCATCACCTAATTTGCATAATTGGTTATGCTAATCTAATTGTAACCTATGTTGTTGGAGAGAGAAATAACATCGTGGAAGAGACATAAAGTGAGTAAAAAACGTCCTAAATGCATTTAGAGTTTATTTAGAACTACAAATTACATTTATTTTAGCAATTATTGTTTTTTTTTAATGTCACAATTCCAACCCTGCTCCTTTACCCGGGCTTGGACCGGCAAAAGTGACCCGAAATAGCTGGCGGAGTTACTTTGTGTGTGTGTTTATAAGTAGTTTTAAACCTTGTGATCCACAAAACAGCATAAGAGTAAAAGAGTAAAAGAAGAACTGTTCTTTTTTTTAGAAAAAAAAGTCGCTATGGCATAGGTGTCAAACTCTGGCCCCAGCCTAATTACATTTGGCCCGCGAAGCCATACCAAATTACTATTAGAGCTGGCCTACTGGTATTATACAGCTAATATTGTTTAGTATTAAGCTTTGCTTGTTCCATATTCAGTTTTTCAGCAAAACTTGTTTGAGTCCATAACAAAAGATTAATTCTTATAT